GGAAAAAAGAGAATTGAAGGTGACAAGGAAAGGGGGTAAGGAAAGAATGAGAGATATAACGAAGGAAACAGAAGTTTGGAAAGGAAATAGAAAACTTTAAGGAAGAGATTAAAAGGAAAGGAGGGAGGAAGGTAGCGAGAGAAGGAAGTGAGATAAAAGAGACACCAGCAAGGAAGGAAGGACAGAGCCTGCATAAAGACACACGAATAGATTTGACAGAAGAAGGGATGAAAGGAGGAGGTAGGGAATAAGTAAAGGATATGAAGCAAGGAAAGAAGGAAAGGGAGAAAGGATGTAGGAAATAAAAAGGAAGCATGAATGGTAGAGATTTGGCAAAAAACAAGAAGAAGATGAAATGAAGAAGGGAATAGGAAAGGGAGGAAGGAAGGTTGAGTCTGGGTCTGTTCGGGTCAGAGCGTCAAATCTCCGCCTCAGAAACCTCACGAGGACCGTAGGCGAGACAGACGCTGGCGGCGTTTCCTGTTTGGTTTTATTAGTTTATCAGGAAAACGAATCCAAACGTTGACGTGAAGACGCAACAAAAACAGCTGATTTCATCTGTTCTTCTGCTGGAAATAAAGAAACGTTTGAACTTCCTGTCAGATCAAACACGCCACAGACACTGTGATGTCATCCGCATCGGCCAATGAGAGCAGCCGTTACATAAACGATGATAGGCTGGGTGTGGTCACATGTCTGTGAGCGGAGATAAGACGCTGCCAACACACACACACACACACACAAGCCCGTTCAGCTATCTTAGTGAGGACCTTCATTGACAGCTTGCCCTCACCAGTGTGTGAATGTGTAAAGCGCTATGCAGGTCATTTACCATAATGCTTTCCCTAGCCTCTTACCCTAACCATTAAAAATGAATGCCTGACCATAAACCTGACCATAACTTAATTGTAACACTAAAACCACATTCTGAGCCTCAAAAAGGCTTCAAACTTGTGTCCTCACAAGTGACTGTTGGTTCTGGTTAGAGATGCATGATACCACTTTTTTATGTCCGATACCGATATCATAAATTTGGATATCGGCCGATACCGATATGAATCCGATATAGTGTGTTTTTTTTAACAATAGAACTGTTTTTTTAATATCTTGCTGCATTTTGTATAAGTTCATACTCAAGTTAAAACAAACACTAAAGCTATTCTGTTATACCTGTATG